AAGTTTTAATTTTATTAAAGAATCTCACAAAAAGAACAAAAAGTGTAAGTGTATGAGTAAAAAGAACAAATGTAGGAAATTAAAGGTTGGTTTTGGAGAAGCAAAGGTTTTAGATTTATCTAAACTGTTTACAACATTATATTAACTGAAGAAAACAAAATTAAGTATATAAAAGATGGTGCGATCTTAAGAATGTAATTTTATATATGTTAAATCCTTATTAGTGAAGATATAAAAGACTCTTCTCTTAAACAATAAATTTTATAAAATTTAGAATAAATTTAAAACCTCACATGGATTGGCGATTATGGGAATTATGGTTAAAGGATTGGTAGATGGTCACCTAATTGGAACGGCGAGGCACTTCTGGATGTAGGTGGACAGTACAATAATGATGGAAAAAAGGAAGGCATATGGAAAAATATAAAAAAAAATTTTTGGAGGTAAGATTTTATTAATTATTTTAAAGCAAAGCTTAAGTCTATGAATCAGTTTAATATGTGAATGGTTAAAAGATAGGAATCTAAAAATTAATCTCTTAAAATTTAGAAATGTATAAATTAAAATTATTAAATAAATAGAGGAGGAGGTGAATATAACGAATAAGGTTATAAGAATGGAAAGTGGATAGAGGTGAGCGATGAATACTTTAAGTATTGTTAAGTTACTTATTCTGGTGAATATAAAAATAGTAAAAAAGTCAATAGATGGGATATTTGGTTAAAAGAAGTTGATCTATATGGAAATCCTAAAGATAATATTAAGATGTAAAAATTTATATAACAGCAGCGGCAGCGGATCTTATGAGGAAGGAGAAAATGAAAAAAAGATTGGAAATTGGATTGATATATGTGATAATTGTAATGTGATTTCTTAAGTAACATTTAATGGTGAATATAAAAATGGTTACAGAATAGGTAGATGGAATATTTGGTTTAAAGAAGTGGATAGGGAATTAAATACTGAATAGAATATTAAGATGTAAAAATTTAATCAAAAGAGCCTAATTTTTTATATTTATCAGTGGTGGTGGATTATATGAAGATGGATGTAATGGAAATAAAATTGGAACATGGATAGATATTAGTGACAATTTTAGTTTGATTTCTTAAGTGACATATAATGGCGAATATAAAAATGGTAAAAGAGTAGGCAGATGGGATATTTGGTATAAAGAGGTTACTCTGTATGGAAATGTTGGGGAATTATAATTGATGTAAATTTCTTGTAGAGTATTAGCGGTGGTGGATCATATGAAGAAGGATGTAACGGAAAAATTGGAACATGGATAGATATTAGTGACAATTTTAATTTGATTTCTTAAGTGACATATAGTGGAGAATATAAATATGGGAAAAAAATAGGGAGATGGGATATATGGTTGAAAACTGTTGATGGTTATTTAAATGCTAAAAAGAATTTGAAGATGTAAGAAATATTTTTAAAGTCTATAATTTGTAAATGTATCAGTGGCGGCGGATTATACGACAAAGAAGGTGATGGTATGAAGATTGGAAAATGGATTGAATTGGATGATGGATTTGATAATGATAAATAAATAATTTATCATGGTGAATATAAAAAAGGGAAAAAAGTTGGAGTATGGGATATTTTTCATAGAAGACATCAGAATTATCCATTTTCCTAAATGTAAAATATATTATATAAGATGTTAAATCATAAATCTCTTAGTGGTGGTGGATTATATAATAAAGGTGATGATGGTATTAAGATTGGAAAATGGATTGAAT